GAAGAGGAATTACCTGCCTGGTCTTTTTATTGATAATCGGTGGGAGGAAGAACCTACGATAGTCAAAGAACACATTAAATCTTTCTATCAAGAAAGGTTTAGTGACTCAATGACTCATAGGCCAGGCTTGGATGGGGTTAGATTCCAACAGTTAAACGCTCAGCAATTAGAGCTGTTGTCCAGGCCATTCGAGGAAGATGAAATAAAGAGGGCAGTTTGGGCGTGTGGGAGTGATAGGTGCCCAGGCCCAGATGGTATAAACTTCAAGTTTATCAAGGAATTTTGGGATATTATGAAAAGGGACTTGGTGCTTTTTGTCCAACAGTTCCATGATAATAGCAAATTACCTCGCGGGACCAACTCCTCGTTTATTTCTCTGATCCCCAAGGTTGATACACCACAAAGTTTGAATGAGTATAGGCCTATTTCTTTGATAGGTTGTATGTATAAGATACTCGCAAAGATTCTAGCACTTAGACTCAAAGTAGTGCTTCCGTATTTAGTCGATCATAGGCAGATGGGCTTCGTGGAAGGAAGGGGATTATTACAAGGAGCTATGGTTCTTAATGAGACGCTTGATGAGGTTAGGCGCAGAAAGAAGTCATGCATGTACTTCAAGGTTGATTTTGAGAAGGCGTATGATTCAGTTTCATGGAGCTTTGTGTTATATATGTTAAGGCGCTTTGGGTTTCAAGATAAGTGGATAGGCTGGATTGGTGAGTGCTTAAGAACCTCTTCTATGTCAGTTCTGGTTAATGGAAGCCCTACAACTGAATTTTCCATGCAAAAAGGGATTAGGCAAGGGGACCCGCTAGCCCCTTTCCTGTTTGTTTTGGTTGCAGAGGGACTTACTGGCCTGGTTAGAGAAGCTTCAAATTCAGATTTGTTCAGAGGTATTAAAGTGGGATCGAAAGGCGAATTAGTTAACATCCTCCAATATGCAGATGATACAATCTTTGTGGGGGAAGCTTCGGTGGAAAATGTGAGGACCTTGAAGGTAATCTTGCGGGGTTTCGAGTTGGCAAGTGGTCTTAAAGTTAACTTTTACAAGAGTTGTTTAGGAGCTATTGGTGTGGGAAGAGAGACCTTAATTTCCTTTGCAGAGATATTACATTGCAAGTTGTCCAACATTCCATTTGTATATTTGGGCATACCTATTGGGGCCAACCCTAGAAGAAGTAAAACTTGGCAGCCTGTGGTCTTGAGCTTTAAAAAAAAGTTGTCATCGTGGAGAGCATCGACATTGTCCATGGCGGGAAGGATTTGCTTGATAAATTCGGTGTTGACTTCCTTGCCATTATACATTATGTCATTCTATAGAATGCCCAAGATGGTGACCAAGCAACTAACATCTATTCAGCGCAACTTCCTATGGGGTGGTAAGCTGGATGAGAAGAGAATGGCATGGGTATCTTGGGAGAAAATTTGTCGGCCTAAGAAGGAAGGGGGTCTAGGAATTAAGAAGCTAGATACTTTTAACGCGGCACTATTAGCTAAGTGGCGTTGGGGACTCTTTCAGCAACCAGAGTCAATGTGGGCAAGAATTCTATTATCTAAGTACGGTGATACCATCATGCACAATACTCGACTGAGAGGAAGCTCAGATTCTATGTGGTGGGGTGATGTATTGAAGGCTTCGGGTGAGGACACCAGTGACTCTTGGTTTATGGATTCATTGTCATGGAGGTTAGGGATGGGTGACAGAATCCGATTCTGGTCTGATGCATGGGCAGAGGCAGAGCCTCTAGCGAATAGATTCCCAAGGATTTTCTCAAATTCATTGCAAAAGTCAAACGTGGTGGCGAATATGGGTCATTGGAGTAGAGGAAGGTGGCAATGGAGATTTCAGTGGAGAAGAGCTTGGTTCACTTGGGAATTAAACGATGTGCAACAGTTTATGAATATAGTGGAGGCAAGGGTACTAATAGAGGGTGTACAAGACTCAAGGCTTTGGACACTGGATAGCTCGGGATGCTTCTCAGTAAGATCTGGGTATCGGGCTTTGATGGACCGTGGCCCCTCATCACAGTTGCCAAATGTTGCTGCAGTAGCTTGGGATATAAAAGTCCCACCCAAAGTTAAATGCTTCATTTGGAGGTTGTTCATGGGTGCTTTGCCTACAAAGGAAAACTTGCTGAGGAGAAATGTGATAGTCTTGAGGGATCAAGCAACCTGCCCCTTCTGCAATGCGGATATCGAGTCGTCGGAACACATATTGTTATATTGCAGCAGCACTGACCCGATTTGGAAAAAATGGTTGTTGTGGTTGGATAGCCCGACTCCTCTATCTAGTTCATTTGAAGGCAACTTCTTTGCTCATCCAAGTATACTATTGTCTAAAAAGAGGGTTGACCAATGGCATGTTATATGGACTGCAATATTATGGTGCATCTGGAGAGCTAGGAATAAATATGTGTTTGAAGGGGAGCACCTTGACGGGAATCGTTTACTGCAGCAAACTGTGTTATACTCATGGTCTTGGCTGACAAGTTTTGATAAGTCGTTCAACTATTCATTCAGTCAATGGGAAGCTAATCCTGGACTTTGTATCATTTCCTAAGATCTTTGATGGGATTTTGAGGAGTTTTTAGAGTAATCTAGTATGCAAATAGTTGATTTTGGACCTCTTAGTTGGAGGCTAATTTGTAACTTAAATTAGGCCCAACTTTGTTGTGTCCTCCGCATGCAAACATGTATTCGACATTGGTATTTCTTGTACCATTTTATTATATAAAATATTTCTTTGCTGTTCAAAAAAAAAAAGATCCTTTGTGTTCTCCAAGGCCGCTATTGAAGCTTCATATCTTTCAGGTATAGTTACTAGAATTTTTTCAACAATTCTAGAATCAAGAAATTGCGTTCCTAGTAATCGTACCTTATTAGCAATGCCAAGCAGTTTGTCAGAGTAATGTTTGATTGTTCCTGTCTCCTTCATTTTTTGTATTTCAAATTCTCTCATTAAATTTAATACTTGCATGCTTCGAATCCTTTCATCTCCAGCATATCCTTCCTTTAGATAATCCCAAATTGTTTTTGCCGATTTGAGAGTCATGATCCTGGTGAAAACATTTTGTGAAACACAGGCAAAGAGACAACTTTTTGTCTTTGCCTTCTTGATTTTCTTTTCCTTGTGAATTTTCATTTGGGCTACGGTAGGATTGTCTGGTAACGCGAAACATCATAATCTTCTTCTACGGCTTCCCAAAGATCTAAAGCTTCTAGGTATGCCTCCATTCTCACCGCCCAAAGATCATAACTTTCTCCATCAAAAATAGGTGGGGAAATTTGTGAAAAGTTTGTTTCTGCTTCCATCTCCAAGATCGTAACCTTAGCTCAAATACCAATGATGGGGTTATTTTATGGTGTTTGTCTGAGGGGATATTTTATGAGTATTAATGTGCGTCCCAAGAGGTAAATTAGACATGCATAACTCGTAAGAAACAATACACGACTTCTACGTTTTTTCTGTGTTTGATCTTTGATGTTAAAATCAACAACCTACGTAATTAATGTATTATAGGCACACACTTAATGCAAGTCTGGTTGAGCGTTTTGGATAGTAGATCGATCCACAACTAATTTGAAACAAATTACATATTATTTATTTATTGCATTTTTTCATGAATTTAACGTGAAAATTGGAAAATATACTCGTTTGATCAATACGTGAATCTAAACACGTATGATAAGAACTTATTTCCACGTTGCACTGAAAATTTCTTTAGGAACGAGAGGAAAGAAGGCACCCAGGTAATAGTTAATTGTGATTTTGACCTAACTTTGTAATGATTAATTTAACGTAATGATTAATTGTGATTTTGACCTAACTTTGTAATGGTTTGACCGAGGTATGCTCCATGTTGACTAATAGTTTCACGATGTATGAATGACAACGTTATTGACATGGTTGAGCATTTTGAGCTGTCGTGCTCGGGATAAAAAATAAATAAGTTTTTCAATCACAGTATTAACTTTGTGAAAACTCTCTCACGTTAGCTTTTAAAATATATTTTTTAATTTACATGCAATCTAATTAAAATTTAACCTAAAAGGAAAAGTTATTTATTTTTTATTTTTATAAATGTTTATGGAGAAATTTAGCTAAATATACTCTGAGTAAATTGGGTTATAAGTTTATGCAAAACAACTTTCATTATTTTTCTTAAATCCATGCAATCATAACGGAATTTTTGGTCTCACTTTATTACTTAATCCACGAAATTTGTAGATTAGTCACTTAACACTAAGACTTAAAAATACTTGTTTTCAATAAGACATCGATATATATGGCGTATTTATACTTTAGAAATTTTAAGACGTCGATATATATATATATATA